GGTTTATGGCTGCCACCTCTTGGCTCAGCCCGTCCCGGAAGGGTGATAAGGCTTAGTGTTTTCCTGGAGCACCGATTTGCATCTCACATAAAATATTCCAGGAGCTATAAACCCAAGACACAGATACCATTGCCCTTACAACCCTCTCGTGCCTGCCAAAGGTGAAGGACCCGTGTGACAAGGAGCTATCGTCTGTTCCAGGTCACTCCTTCCTACAAGAACATACACAGCCCTGAATTACACCCAGGGGAAACCTCACCTTGGGCTTCTTTTCCCAGACCTCCAGACTCCTCACCTCTGACGTGGGGAATTCAATTGCTCTGCCTACAGGCAGCCTTTGCAGAAGTCATCTTTCTCCGAGGCAGAGATCTCTGTCTCTATCAGTTCCTGTGATGCTTTCCTTACTGCCTTTTGAACTACTTAATTAACAGAGAGCGGTACTTACAAAATCAAGCTGCCAAAAAAGCCAAGTATGTCATTCTCATATTGAAAAAAAGTCAGTAACCATAAATGTTACAGTGGCAGACACTTTGCAGTAATTAAACTAAGTGGGCAGTGAGAGGCTACTGCTCACTGAAGACATTGAGATTGACAGCTCTTCCATAATTTTTTTACTTCATCCTTTCACTTGGTAATTTTTCCCTGCTCTATTATCCTAATGCTAAAAGCAGCAGACAGTAGTCTCCTCAAATCCTCAGCGATGACAGTATATTGGCTGACCTCTCTAAATTCACATCCCTCCTCTGATTTTTAGCACAAAGATACCTGATGGGAGGTTTTAGGTGCTTGAATAATAGGACCGAAGCTGCACGTACCCATTTTCTGACTCAGTGGTCTGGAGATGGGTCTGGCCATCACCCGGCACGAAGAACTGTACGCCTTTGGGGTTGACCTCAGCTGCTGCTCCTGAGAAGCCTCTTCTCCCACCTGATGGCAGTGTTCTCCTTAGGTTCCTCTCCTCCAGCCTGCTGCTCTCCTTTACTGCAGACAACTCCAGCTACAGCTGCCCGGGCTGCGCTTGGCAGCAGCTCCAAAAAAGCTGCTCCAAACCAGCTGTGAGACACGACCAGCCTGGAAAAAGGGAAGGGGCAGCAGAAGGAAACACAGAAATATTTAGGGTGAAAAGGTAGCAAAAGGATTCGGGGGTGCAGAGAGCTTCCCCTCACATACAGGCATAAAGGTTATTGTTCACTGTGTAATTTGTTCACAACGTAAAGGCACGGCTACTCATAAGCTCACATGAAAAAAAAAACGAGTGGAATATGGATGTATAAATTGCACTGCTGTTTGCAGCCATCAGAGTTTACCTAAAAGAGGCAGATGAACTGACACACAGGCAAACATGGGTCTGTTAGATGCAGGAACACCACCACACCATTTCGATCCTCTGATATGCATTCTCCTGCTGAGACTCTGGTCCTTCACAGGTGAAGAGGATGCCAAGACACCCAGCAGAGTGTGAATTGCTCTTACGTCTGTAAGGAGCTTTGTTATAACCACAAACTTCTCCTTTTAGAGGGCCAGATTTCTGAGTGCGTTGGTGCATATCTGCATTACTGTTTTGGCTAACAGTGGTAGCAAATGAGAAGGGTTTTCTTATATAAATTGCAACTGCTGCTGAGGTTTGACCCCTGCAAAGGCCAGTTACATAGAGGGCTCTGGGGACTGTTTCCAGCTCTAACTTCAGAGCCCCACCACAGAGCCACAATTAGAATTTCATTCCGGCATTGTCATGTTTTAGAAAGAAAACTTGGGACCTTGGAAAAGCCACTATTTTCTGTAGGGGAGACCACGCCTCTGCTTGGTGAAGTGATATGAACAAGATGGGCAGAGTTGACTGAGTTCTCCAGGACGAAGCCTGTAAGTCCTTTTTGCTTGCAAATTTAAAATGGGTGCCATACTTGAAGCACCTCTCTCAAATTTCTGAGTAAAAAACTAGAGGCAGCACAGCCCAAGGAAATGCTGCCCTTCTTAAGATGCTTTTAGCATCCAACATCAGTCCAGTGCTGAACTGAAAGCAAGATATTGTTCAGGGAGTAACTGAAATCAGCAGGGAGGAAACTTGTCCTTGATATTATACCAATTAAATCAATTTCAATTGGGGATGAATTTGCTCCGTCATGTCCAGTTAAAGAAAAAAAAAAAAAGAAAAAGAACTACGAAGTAAAGAAAAAGAAGATTTATATTAGTAATGATTTCCCAGGTAGCTCAATGCCATCCCATTCCTTTAAGTGAGAGGATACTCTTTCAAGGTTAGCCAGACCAGTGCACTGATATGCAAGAGAAGCTGTCCATTTTTCTAATATGCGCATTAGAGTTTGGCTGCTAGGACTGCTGCTAATGGAAATATTCTTGGCCCCGGCTTCCGTCTGATAGATTAATATGATATTCATAAAAAAAAGGTAAATGGATAGAAATACTCAAATTCATTGGCAAATGTAACTTCTACCCAAGCATAAGGACAAATGCAAGATATGCTTTGCAATGTCTATAATATTTGGATTTAATAAGGAAATGTAGTTTGAATGGTTGTTTGTATCCCAGCCCTTTTTGATGCTATACTGTATGCAGTATATACAGTCCCTGTCTCCAGATGCAAGCTCTGCAACCCTCGCTTTCCAGAGAAAGCCAGAAAAGGTGGCAGGTTCAGTTCCTGTGTTTACAGCATGTTTCACGGTGTTCCTTTCAGTCTGTTAGTTACTATTTCACATTTAACAACATTTCCCAAACTCTGTTCCATAAAAAAGAAAAGAGTGGAAAAAATTAAACATAAAATTAGACTATATTTATTTTACATGTCACTGAATTTGGATTAAATATTTCAGATTCTGTAGTAGAATATTTCAGCCTTAAATATTGCCTTAAATACTGCCTAAAATATTCCAGCATAAACAAAGTTAGCCTCAAAGGAGGAAATCCATTGTGCGTAAAGATGTGATAATTGCAGATATGATGCAGAATTAATCTGCAACCCCAAAAAAACCCAGAAAAGGAGAGCACGAGGCCCCCAGCAGTTTGACACTAAGCCTATTCACCATGGACTTTGACTTTTGATACTGTCCTTTGACAGCATCTTTTGATGCCATCTCCCCTCATATCCCCATGTGAGGGGATGGAGTCTTCTTCTCTGGAGATACTCAAAACCCACCTGGACACCATCCTGTCCTATCTGCTCCAGATGAACCTGCTTTAGCAGGGAGGTTGGTCTAGATGATCTCTGAAGGTCTTTCCCAACGCCTACCATTCTCTCATTCTGTGATTCAGTGACTTGTGTATCTGAATTAGATAAATTTAACTGGTAGACTCAAGATCTCTCTCTCTCTTTTCCTTCTGTAAATGAGCAAAGAAAACAAACATTTCGTGACTGAGAACTTCCCATTAAGAAGTTTGGAGCAGCCTTAGGAGGACAGTTTGTTTCTCAGGCCTTTTTTGGAAAGGCATATCTGCTGGTTTTAACCTGACACTGTTCTTGCTGGAATTTTTGGCATACCAAGTGCCAGTGAACTTCTCATATTGTTCTCAGGAGGCCCAGAGCTACAGCAACTCTCTGCCACTACTTCAGCTCAATGTGAGTTGAATGCTGCACATCAGACAAATATTTTCTTGTTGCGGTGGAAAAAGGAACAGATGAAACTCTATTGATAGTGCCTACTTCAACAGTGAGGCTGGAAGGAGCGGAATATCTTCTTGGAGCTGGGATTAAAAAGTGCTAAAGTTTTCTCACTGCTTATTTTTTTATATATCAACCAAAATCAAAGTTCTATGTGACTGGTAACCTCTGAGATGTGAGGCAAAAACCTGTATTTCACAAAGGAATATTTCATATCAGAGAAATAGCTTTCCAATGGCAAATCAATTAATTATTTTTGTTCAGCTATAAAAATACCCATGTTGATAGGTGGGAAAAGCAAAAATGAAATATTGTTTAGCTTTTGTGTGGTTTTTTTTTTCCACATTGAAGGTCTGTATTGTGATTTCTAAAACAATGCTGAAATAGCCCAGTTTCTATAAAAGCCCATCTTCATGCCTTATGATTCTTCTGTGCGGTGCAACGAAAAGTACCACATTGATTACCAGCTGTAGAAGGGCTTCTCCCATTTGGAGGACACTTCTATGACATTAAAAATATAGTTCTGCTCAGCTGCGCCAGGACTGTGGATGAAGACTCTTCTCTCAGATAGAAGAGACATCCATGTGCATCATCAAGTGCTGAGCTTGGTGTCTTGAGATACCAGAAGGCTGATGCTTTGAATTTGTGACTCAGCAAGCTGTCTCGGCAGGATTCTGAATCACCTGGATGGTGGTAGCATCATGCTTCTTGTGGCCTTCACTTGAGTCCAGCTTGTACTGTGTCTATCACTTACCTCTCTGCTTTGGGAATAAAACCTGAGGTTGTCTTCTGATTCCTTGAAAAATATTTTAACCTTCCGAGAGCAAGATTAAACACTTTGCAATATGAAAGGATAAATGAGCAGGTAACCAGCTGTCACCTGTGGCTGTTAACATTGCTATATATAACAGATTTCAGGAGCAGCTTAAAAAAAATAAAAATGAAAAAAAAAAAAGAATCCCTCCAAAAGGACAAATCTTTTGACAGATTAAAAACTGTGAGCCATATAAATGTCTTTGAGATGTATTGAGGCTTACAGCCAAACCCTACAAATTCTCTTTATGATATCATTGACTGTGCAAAGCCAAGGGGACATCTGCACTGCTCTTTTTAAGGGACAAAAACCTAGAGGGCATTCAGATATTGCAATTATCAGTAATTTAAAATGCAGGAGAGAGAAAGAGATATGTTTTAGAACCGCTTGTTCCTCAGATTATATTAAATTTGCTGAAGGTACTCTGCATTTTGTAATGGATAATGTATTTTGGTGCCTGAGCATGGTCAGAACTCTTTTAAAATCTGATCTGTAGTGGTTCACCATAACAGGAGATCCTTTCACTGTCATAAATATTCATAAATACTAATTAGCTATGTTTTAATCTTTCGGCAGAGATAAGGATTGCCTAAAAATATGGGAATCATTAAAACATGCGTTCATTTACAAGAATCCCTGTAACACTACCTCAGAAGATTATCAGCCTTTGATGGAGTTAGCGAGTCATCCCATACCCTGTAACAAGGTAACCCTACAGCTCACGGTGGGCTGTGTGGGGAGGATTGTGGTGGGACGACGGGTCTGTGCAGTGCTCCGAGTGATGGATGTTGTCCCTAGTGACTTGTGAGTGTCTGTAGGTCGACGAGGATGATGTTTTGCTCTTGTTCTTACTGCAAAAGTGTTATCTCCTTTGGACCCTGGTGGCCCTGTGGCTGGAAATCATCCCTGTGTAAAGTTTGCCTCAGACCTCAGCGCTGGGGTGGTGCTGGTGAAGTGATGGAGATGTCCCTGTTCCCTGAGCATATGGCTTTCTGGAAGGAACATGCTGTCATGCTGTTAGAGGCACTGTGCTTCCAAAAAGCTGCTCTTCCATGTGCAGTTGAAAAGCACACAACGAATTAGGTATATATCCTATGAGAACTAGTCTAAACCTTTCTTTCAAAATGGTGTACAGGCTGAACACGTCCATTTCCACAAAAAAAAACCCACCCAAAAATATTTTGGAAATGGGACCATGGGCTGCATAAATAAGAACTGACCCACTAAAACTAAAAATCCCTCATTATCATGAAAAATTTTTGCTTTTCTCCAGGAAAATTTCCTGACCAGCTCCAGTATAAGTATCACTTACTAGACATTGTACCTTATTTCACAGTCACTGTTTTGGAGCAGGACAAAGGACCTGGCTCATCGTTACACAAAATCCAATGAAAATTTCCTTACCTTGGAGGACACCTTGTTGGGTTATATGACTGATATGATTTCATGGTGTGGAGACCCCTCTGCCCCAGGTAATAAGTCCTATTTTTTGCAAAACAAATCAGAACACTGGAATTTCAGTTTATTCTTTTCTCTTGTACATCTAGACCTAAACCCAGCCCTTTTCATATATTCTTTTCTTTAAGTTAGCTAAAAACATTAACCGTATTTCTGTCCCATGTTATGGAAGAATGAAAATAATACTTATTTCTCAGGTTAGTTTTAAAACCCACAATTTCTTGGCTATTATTAAAATGGCAGCTTGCTTCTTGGACTAATGGTCATATCTCACCCTCGTTATCAAGGTTACTTGGTTCCTTCCTGTGACTTCTGTGGGACAAATTGCAAAATAAGAATGCCAGTCAAGAAGGTCCTGGCCATAGGCCAGTCAAAGTGGTGGGGGCAATATATAGGTCTCTTGGGGTTATTGATGCCCCCAGGACCGCTGGGTTGGTGCTTAAAGCTAGCAACCTCTTGAATGGGCTGGAACTACTGAAAATCTTGGGCAAAGTTTAGTTTTTCAATGCAATCGGACAGAATTGTTAAGAGCCAACCTGTTTTTCACCTTTAGGACTACATGCTTTCCCTTCTTAGTTTTCTGAGAGTTATTTGCATACAGGGCCTGGAGCTGCCTCCCTGAAACATGTGTCAGCAAACAGGAAAGCCTGCGAACACATGCAGACTCCTTTTCCTCTTAGAACCCTTTCCTGATGTAGCCTTCTGCTTTGGCAAGAGGCAAATCTTTTTGCCGTCATTAATCAGCTCTCACGGACACATTAACATTGCAACAATATTCACTCTGACCTTAGCAGATCTATAAAATTTGTTTCTTCTCAGGAATCAACTACGAATCTTGTCCAAAACGAAGCGAATGTGAGAGCAACCCGACCTCTGTATTCTGGAAAATGGCATCCAAGATGGTAAGATCTAGAATAAACCTCCCTGAATCCGAGAATGTTGAAAGGCACTAAGTTCCTGACATTGCCAAAATGTGAGCTTGAAGAATGGACTTGAAACAAGGAATAGCAAAAGTTCGCACAAGTTTTAGCCTTAGTTGCTAAAAATTGTGGGTTTGGAAATGTGTATTTGTACAATATTTAATGTCACTGTAGTTTGGGCATTCTTATTTGTGGGCAGAGACTGCGTGCCAGTGTCTAGAACAACCCTTGGCAGGCAGCTGGAGCTTTGCAGATGGTATTTACAGTAATAATAATCACCACCTTAATTAAATCACAGGACTGAAATTGGTAAAGTAAAATACATTTTAGTGTGTTAATGTTGAGAGCAGTGCCCAAATTGGGACAGAAATTTTCCAAGAAGCTGAGAACGTCCTTGTACCTTCCCGGCATAACCCTGAAGAGCACATCCTCCCACCATGGTATCTGGTGAGGTTCCTGGTGAGGTACTCCCAACACGTGAAGGAGACCCTGCTAGTCTGAGTTAAGCAGTTAGCCTGGCTTTGCTGAATCAGCACTTCACAGGAAAAAAAAAAAAGTTGGAAAAAACCCTGCCCTCCCATATCAGTTTAATTCTACACATCTCAAGACTTCACCCTTGATATGAGTATTAGTAGATGACTGCCCAGGTGGAAAACAAAGCTTTCCTTTATGCTTCAGCTCTCAGGTACGTAAGAAAAAGTTTACTGACCATAAAAAAACCTGTTTTGTGGGTAAACTAGCGTATATAAATTTTCCAAGCTCAAAAGAGTTTCAGTGTTTTTATTAATCCCCCCAGTTCCAGAGACTGGGAGGGATAAACCGCCAAGAGTCAGGCTTGCTCGACTGCAGGCTTTCTAGTCCTAAGAAATTTAAGACCTACAAAAACTCGTGCTTATTGCACCTAATGAATGTGTCCTGCAACTTCACAGCTCTTGAGAGCTGAGTTTGAGCCACATTTTTTAGACGTAAGAGGACTTGGAAGTACAGTCATCTGTGGTAAGCTTTTTAGAAATTCTTTGGTTGTATAACAAGAGTGGGTACTTTATGGTGTAACTTTAGCAGCCTTCAAATATTTGGACAAGAGCAGTGGTTACATGGTCCAGTAATTTAAAAATCAAATCAAACAAAACTCAGTGATGAGTTTTACTAAAACCACCGAGGAGAAAAATCCCGAGCCACAAAAAACTACAGAAAATATGAGTCACAAGGTAACGAATACGCGATGGTTTGCCTGTCCTTAAGCTTGGGGCACCTCTCTCCTGGCTCATCCTCACCACCTGAGGGAACAGCCCCATCAGAGAGCTGTAGCTGCTGGGGCTCTGGGAAGTTGCATCCCCTAGTGAAAAGAGCATCCCCCTGTGAAAGCTGAAAACAGCAGTGGCAGCAAAGTTGCTGTACCAATCCCATCCAACCCCCAACTCCCAATTTACAGCTGGCTAATGCAGCTTTATGACATTTTTGCCATAGCCTTTAAAGTCTTCTGTTTTCCACTGACATGTTTTGTTAAAATGTTGGCCAGATCCTCTACTTGTGTCAGTCAGTCCTGGTGACACCAAAGAAGTCACAGTGATTTCTACTAGCCCTGAGTCTGACGTGGCACCGCGTAGAGTATATACAGAGTATATAGTGTATATACAGAGTATATATACAGAGTATAACGCCCATTTGTTTTGTTCAGTTTGCAAGAGAAGCCTGTGGTGTGGTTCAGGTGATGCTCAATGGATCCACAGAAGCTGGAGCTTTCAGGAACAACAGGTATCTACAGAGCACACTGCCACCCCTCTTCGTATGAGTCCTGCATGCTGGTGAACATGGCTTTGCTAGTGACTCCCAGTCCAGAATGGATTTTGGTAAACTCATATAGAAGTCTAAACCGTTTGGTGTTGAAGAGAGGATTCACTTAACTCCCCCGAGATTGTGACTGCAATTTAAAACCTTCTGAGGGTATGAGGGTGAGGTACCTGGGTATCCAGTATGCTCTTATTGCACGAAGTAAATTTATTATTACAGTTTATTTATTCTCTATACATGAATGACACATTTCTAATTGTTGATGGAGCTGACTGGATTCTCCCCCCTCCAGACTGTGCTTCCTTGGGTTACCTGGTTGAAAGTGCAGTCTCGAATAATATTGAAAGATGAAGAATGTGCTGTTTGGGAGGACAGACACCTTCATGTCCCTTGCACCAAATCAAACCAGTAGCCAGTAAACTTTAACTTCTTTCAGTCTGCAGGCAGTTTCAAAAGTTCTTGTGAAAGTGAAATAAGAATGGGGAGAAAATCTCTTACCACAAGGTAATTAAATAGTCTGTGAAAATCCATCGGCAAGATAACATTCTTTCAGTGAGAATAACAGCAGCACTAATAAGTACTGGTATTGGGGAAACATACTCTATCTTACTTAGATAATTAAGAATGTTTTGCTTTCTCATGTCCCGTTCCTACAGCATTTTTGGAAGTGTCGAGGTCTTTAACTTAAATCCAGACAAAGTCTCTGCAGTACACATTTGGCTAATGCATGACATCGGTGGGCCCCAGAGGTGAGTTGTGCTGGTACGGAGGGGTGAGTGGTGTGTAGAAGGCAGAGGGGGCAGCTCAGTTCTGACCAGGGACTGTCTAACCGTGACACTCTCTTAAACTCACTCATGAAACCTGCTCTACCTTCACTCTCCTAGTTGCTTACTTTACTGGTTTTTCCTTTGGTATGTTCTGTAGGTACTGCTGAACAGCTATAGCTAAGACACAATGACATTTTCTTTGCTTTCAAGAGGTCCCATGACCTTTAAATTCCTCCCAGACCCACTGAGCTCTACAGGCCCTCATTATGGGCCACGGAAGTCACAGAGCAGGCTGCCTGTGCATGGGTGAAGAGCTGGAAAATATGTTTTTCCACAGGAATAGGAGGCCTCAGCTTTTCTGAGTGAGCTTTTCCATCCCAGTCAGATCTCTTTGCAGACCTATCACATTTCAAGCACCAAGCCTGATGGTCATGCCTTTGACCCCTATCTTCAGAGCCAGTTCACATGGTTATAATGCATTGCCATGGTTTCTCCTGTTCCTAAGGAGCCCACACGCCAGAGGTAGCAGCTTTGATGCTCTGGGTCAGGAAGGAGAGCGCAATGGTGCACTGCAACTCAGGCATGAGTGTGTACCCAGCAGAGACCTTTGCTCAGACAGCCTCACTGTCTGACACAGTGCCAGCTCCAGTGTTCCAACCCCTCCTTCCACCCTGACACCCAGAAATGTCTTTTTACAGCATAAAGAGACATATCTATCACAGCTGACATGCATGCATCTACCCCGTGGCCAGCATGCCAGACATGTTCTTGTCCCTATTGCATAGAGGTTTGCTGAAAAAAAAGGATGTTGGGCAATCTGTACATTACTTCCCCCAAACATGGCACTTGATCTTCTCTCCCATGATTTCCCAACATCAGAAAAGCCATCGTGTTCCTCCTCAACATCTTCAACAATGTGGTGTCCTGCCAGCCTTCCTGACACATCCTTCTCCTGTGCCAAGTTCACAGCAGTTTCCTTTTTATTTTCTACTTGCTCCCAAGAAGAAAAAGAAAGGGCGGCTCCAATATGTATTCCTTTTATCTTCTGATTTGTATCCCATGTTGAATCACTGATAACATCTGGTAAGTCTTGTGAACAAGGAAGAGCTGGCTCTGCTTCCCGTTAATGCCATGTGTTAGGAACCGGATTTGCCCTAATGTGTGTCCTGTACTCTGAACCAGGAGATGATTTTTATCCCAAGGTAACAAGTCTTTTGCAGTATCTGTGTCTCTGAGATTTGTCAATCCTCTCACTATAGCTTTGGGGCCCCTTGGGCAATTTTAGGTAAATTGAGATAAAGAACTCAAAGGTCTGACATTGCTGCTTGCTTCATGAAGCCACTAGCTACGTGGAAAATAAATATACAAGTTAGGGCTTCTGCTAATGGAAAAGTGGTTGAAACAGCCCCTTGTCAAAACAAGAGTAGCAGTAGCCACAGACTGAGTCAAACAGATAGGAGATGCTCATATCCTGCTTCCTCCTGTGTTTTCTGTCAGCTTCTATTGTACGTCCTGCCTGGGACTTGGCTGCTGGTTTCCAGTTGGCCCTTTCTCATCACACAGAGGACTTGATCGCTTTGTCCTTCCACAGATTTGAATGAGCCCTATACCATGCTCCTGTGGATGGAGGCCACCAGTGTCTATGGAGCAGTTCTAGAGCACATTCAACTGTGAATGGAACTGAGTCAATTCCCACAGAGACCTTCCTGCACAGAGTTCTTGTACAAGATACACAGTTGAACATCACATAGTTTCTACCAGCAAAGGCCCGACTGTAGTCAATACTCCACAAACCCACTGGACTTTACAGCACATTAGCAAACAAGCTTTTAAAGAGTCTTACCTGAAATAAGGCGAAGTGACACAGTGTGGAATTTAGCTGAGCTGCTTGTATGCACGGGGAACACCAGTAATGGAAGACTTTTCTTTCCAGTGAATCCTGCTCAGGTCATTCCATAATGAGGTTAAGAAGCATCTTAGAAGAGCGAAACTTTACGATGACCTGTGAAGACAATTACAGGTAATTACCTCCTTTTATTGGTGTCAACTTGCTAACATAACACTAATATTGCACCTTTCTCTTGATTAATATAGGTTTCCCGGTTTAAGCAGACTTCCCTCCTACTGCCATCACATCCCTTTGATATGGCTGTGTGCTTCTCAGGGGCTTCCACCCATGTTGGCTGGATGTGGGGCTTGCTCTCTGCCCAGCATTCCAGGAGGTCACCTCCATTGCACGTGTTTAGTTGCCTTCAGGGAAGGAGGAATCCAGCCTCTCTCAGCAGATTTTTCATCTGACTGGGATTTTACCTACAATAATCACAGTCAATATGCAGCTCTCCTCCTCCCTGCTGCACGCAGATAACGCAGTGTGTCAAGGATGGTCCTTGCTTCCTTCACTATAGTTTGAACTTACTTTCCATCCAGCTGCTTTATCAGGGAGTGAGGCATTGAGACATAGTAAGTATTATGAATTGCTATAATTCCCCATTGTCAGGAGATAAAAACAAGAGTCCAGGAAACAGAACAGCCCAAGTTGTGACTTGCCTGAGATCTCTATTTGCCTGCTGAGGAGATAACAAAAGCCTGAGACCCATTATCCCTCTGTGTGGGTTCAGAGACCTTCACACAGAGCAAAAGTGTTCTTTAGTGACATTAAAAGAGCAACAAGGGTTCAATATTATTCATATCTTATCTGTCAGGAACAGCTTTTCAGAGTGAAGGACTCATACTGGGATAAGTAAACATTTCTATAAACTGCTGAGTTTGTGACATTAGTTTTAAATAAGGAAAAGTTGGTCTGCAAAGGAGACGAATACCTTATCTGTTGCTAGGATTTTAATCTTGAAGGCAGAGCAATATATCCTTGTTTAGATATTGCTAAAACTGATGAATGGGTACTCTGCAGATTGTGAAGGAATTAACACTGGTGTGGTGCATAAATCTGCCAAATGGTGATGCTCGTGTTCTTGCTTAGACCCTTAACCAATACTGCCAGGACCTGTAAGTAGGGACAAGTTATTTCAGCCTAGAGTGAAATAAGCTAAGAGGCCAGGAAGGAAGGGGAGGTAGGTAGTAGCTTAGATTCCTCGTGGCTCAGCACAAGGAGAAACCTGTAACACATCACAAGGGGTTGTTGACTTGCTCGTTGCTATGGCTCATAGCTCGTTTCTTAAGATAGATAACAAGTGAAGCTCAACTAACACATACATAAATGACTGTGTAGAGCTACACTGACAATTAATTTAAATGTCTCATATACAGAGCAATAACAAAATAAGCAATTTACATGTGCAGTAAACTCTTCAGGGCAGACAGTGTGAGTTAGCTTCACTCCCCTGCAGTCGTTGCAGACAGAACTGTGCGGGTCCGTATCAGCGGAGCATCTGGCTTTTCATGCTATGTACCAATTGATGCTGATCACTTTCTCCTGCTTTGGTCAGCAGTGTCTTCCAGAGGTAACTGATTCACTGGATGTACTTCTAGCAAAAAAATCTAATATTATCTGACATTATTAGCAACAGCTTTACATGGTAGCTGGAGGGGTTACCCCTGGGTGAGCAAGATAGGTGAGCTCCAGCACGGATCTCACTTCTTTTTCATAATTAGTTCTGTTATCACAGAGGAGCTGACATGCTGCGAGTTCACGTCCTACTTTATTTCGCGCTCACTTGCTCTTGTCCCTATAAACATCAAAGTTATCTTCCTGCGGGAAGATCTAATAAGACATTATCCTAAGAAAAGACATCCGCTTGATAAGCGCCGGTGTAACAAGCACTTTGACTTCCACTCTGCGTTGAGCAAGTGTGGAAGTTATTTTTTTTTTTTATTCCGCTGTGCTTGCCAAGGGATTACTAAATATTTGTTTGCTTTTGTGCCTCACGGCAGGCCCGTTCAGCTCCTCCAGTGTGTGCAGAACCCTGACCACACGGACTGCCAGCCCTGCGCCAACGCCACGGCAGCTCCGTGAAGCGCAGCCTCCCCGTGCCGTCGGAGACCCACGTTGTTGGTGTGTGAGGCTGGAGACGACGTGGCTGCCTCGCTTGGAGTGGTAAAGAGCAGCGTGGGGTGTGCCGAGCCCATAACCACAAACCCTTGCTGTGGTACTAACAGCCAAGGAGAGGGAGATGGTGTTTTAGGTGTGAGAACTGTACACACACACACATACACGCTCAAACAAACTATTTCAGAGGGGCTGGGGACATGTTCAGGTCTTTGCCCTGGTTTGCTCCCTCCTACACAGCTCTCCTTGTGGCCACAGGGTCAGAGCAGGGATTCCCTGAGCCGCACAGAGAAGAAAGGGACTTTCCAGGGGAGGGAGAACTTGCCTGGATTATCGCTTGGCTTCCTCCCTGCTGGAAGGCTGGGTGGGAAACGACCAGGGCACGCTACACTCTCCTTGTATCCCAGTGCAAGTGCCCAGGGGCACATGATATAAATCGTGTTTCTCCCGGGGACTGTGGCATCTCTGAGCAGGTAAAGCAAGTGATGGAGAAGGCAGAGCAGTTCTTACCTTTTGATGGGCATCGCAGTAAGTGGCTGGTGGGGAAACAGCTGGGCTGAGCCAAGGAAAGACCAGAAACTGCTCAGAGGGTTGCCAGCATCTGTATGAACGTGTCGAATGTGTAGCTGGGGAGATAAAATAGCAAGACTGACTCAGACAGCCCCATTAAAATCCCACTGGAAACACCGCTGCTGTTCAGATTACAATTAATTCCTAATATAGCAGTAAGTGTGAGCGTTCCAGCTTTCATGGAAGGTCCCTCAGGCCACAATTTGGCCATCCACTGGAACAGAAACAAACATCAAAAGGTTGCTGCCCTAAGGAGCCTCTCCTGACTGCCATCTCTGAGGTGAAGCATGGTGCCTCGCTGTGCGTAATCCACAAGCAGGGACGTGCCGTGGTGCACCGAAGCAGCAGGTTTCATTGATTCCCTTTGATTTCCATTTTGCCGGTCTCATACGCGTATACAAAAATAAAGATCTAAGGCCAGCTTGTGGCCTCTGCTGCAATGCCTCTGTGCAGTGCCATTGACACTACAAGAGTAGAGCAGGTTGTCCTACAGAGATGCTCCTGGGAGCTGCAGAGGCATCACAACCAGCCATCGCCAATCCATGGGGCAGACCCAGGTTTCCATGGCCCAGAAGGTCATAATGCTGGGTTTTAGTAGTGACAACCCAGAGCACAAGGCATCCTTATGGAGCAACACAAGCAGGGGTAATTCTGAGCATCTTCAGATGAACCTTTGCTCTGTAACGCATAGGGCCTGCACTGAGCACAGCTGGACCACATCCAAGACCTCACCCAAAATGTTTACATTAAGTGAAATGTGTTTTTATTTGCACTCTGTTATGTAAGCACTTAGATGCGTCAAAGCAGATACATACCAATGCTTTCAAACAGGTTATTTCTGACTATAGGTCAAGAACTTGTCTTCATGCTCGCTTTTGTACCTCTTCTTTTGTAATATAAAACGTTGGCTGTAACATCGAGAGCTGTAATAAAATCGCTGATGGCAAACGTTGTTAATTCAGTTTCACATTCTATTTAACCTCAGACTGAACACAAAAATCAGCCACTTCCTAAAAACAATTTAGAAATTAATTCAATGTATGAAACTCTGCATATACCCATCCAGGAAAGCAGAGGAATGTCACAACACCTTTCTGCCCAGGGAAGTGGTTGAGGCACCATCCCTGGAGGTATTTAAAAGATGGGTAGATGTAGTCCTTAGTGACATGGTTTAGTGATCATTTTTTATCAGAGTTAGGTTGATGGTTGGACTAGATGATCTTAAAGGTCCCTTCCAATTTAGGCAATTCTATGATTCTATAATCTTTCTCAGATCATACTTGTCCCACCTCACTCTCCAGCTTGTACAGAGACGTCATCGTCTTTGTAGGTGGCTGGAAGTGACACATCCTGTCTTTATCTTGAATGCAGACATGCAGATATGTATGATATTCTCGGCCATATTAGTCAAGAAAGATGACAGTTCTTATCAGTGGTTACGCAGTAAAATGCTATAGAAGGAAATCTGTGTTTTTGAAAGCTGAGGTGCACACTTGATACAGGTGACTCCGCTGGAGGAAATGACAGCTCTGTAACACAGGTGGTTGGCAGGAACATAGACTCTTTTTTTTTCTGGGGCAATTTTGAAAGTATGTAAAAATGACATACCTTTCCAGGAAAACTTGGTAATAATCACAGTAAAGATTAGGGAAATTATTGAACTTGTCATCGCCTGGTTTCATTCTGACCAGTTATTCTGCTGCCAAGAAGGGCTGCAAATTTTGTGGATTTGCATGTGGATGTGCTGTGGGCAGGGAGGGGGCGGGACACATATTTGCTTTTCCCCTCATTAGCCCTTGTTGCCAAGGGAGAAGAGGCAGCACGGGTACTGTGGCTGTCAAACATTCTGGATGCTCCTCAGACCCTTTTCCCAACACTGCTCTCGAAGTCCACAGTGTGGTGGCATCTACTGTGTCCTGCTGCTAGCCCTTAAGGAGGGACCATTAACATTGACCCCTAATGTGAGGGTCTGTGAGGGTGGTGAGACACTGGAACAGGTTGCCCAGAGAAGCTGTGGATGCCCCATCCCTGGAGGGATGGCTGGATGGGGCTTTGAGCAACCTGGTCTGGTGGGAGGTGTCCTTGCCCATGGCAGGAGGGTTGGAAGTAGATGGCCTTTAAGATCCCTTCCGACTCTAACCATTCTGTGTTTCTATGATTCCAATAAATACTATTCATTAGTACAGATGCACTGTAGGTGTACATCTGGCCCACTGATGCAGACTCAGGTCTGTGCTGCCCACATTACATACATAAGTAGAACCTGACTGAACCTGACCTAATTTCCAACAAGCAAGGAAAAGTGCTTTTGCTACCCATGAGCACACATTTGATGTGCCATGCAGACATGCCCCACCAGACAGGTATAATTCCAAATCCTATTGCTCTGCTGAAAATGTATAAACCAAAAAAAAAAATAGTAGATGGCCTTTAAGATCCCTTCCGACTCTAACCATTCTGTGTTTCTATGATTCCAATAAATACTATTCATTAGTACAGATGCACTGTAGGTGTACATCTGGCCCACTGATGCAGACTCAGGTCTGTGCTGCCCACATTACATACATAAGTAGAACCTGACTGAACCTGACCTAATTTCCAACAAGCAAGGAAAAGTGCTTTTGCTACCCATGAGCACACATTTGATGTGCCATGCAGACATGCCCCACCAGACAGGTATAATTCCAAATCCTATTGCTCTGCTGAAAATGTATAAACCAAAAAAAAAAATCCCAGATAACACAAAGGCTCAAATTCACAGAAAAATAAAGAAAAAAAAGAAAACCTGAGCAGTTTTTTTTTTTCCACTAAATGGAAGAAATATTTCTGAGATAGTTTGAAACACGCTGGGTTTTGAAAATATGTTTTCAGTCTGATGGAGCTAACCTCTGTCACAAGTTGTTCAAGATAAATGGGCTACTTTGTGCCCCAGGCCCACAGCAAACACCGCCAAAGAGCACTGCTCAGAAACCCGACAGGAATCTGAGTTATTATGTGATAAGGTGATATCAACATCATGCACTCCCAGAGCCACACGGCGCTGGGAAAACTGCTTCTCTGACCTTGTTATCACAGTATCGCTGCTCCCCCCAGGCTTTGATGTACTTAACCTGATGAGAGCCTGCAATTATTAAACTTATTTTTGAGATTAGGAAACAAATGAAATACAGAAGGGTTTGTTCTCTATGCAAGCCATCGCTTGGCCTTGCGTGTTTACCATGAATCACAGTGTTTGATTTAAAACACCAGCCTCTCCTGGGGTCAGGAGGCTGAGTATACAAACGGCCCCGATTCCACGTAGGTCCCTCCACCTCGTGTTTCTTCTTGGCTGCCCCCACACATCACTTTGGTTTCCCAAATCTCCCTGCAGTCTCCTTTCAGCGGCCACTAGCTCTCCCTGTCACTTATGCGTGGGGATGTGGGTGAAATTAAAGACTGTCACTTCAGGCTTTCATTTCAAATAAAAAGCCTTCTGATCCTAGAGAAAAATTTGAAAACTAAAAACAAAGATTTAAACATGTGAAGGGCGAAAAACCTTACCCTCAGCATCTATCTGCCCTCAGCGTCTATCTACCATCAGCTATTCCACTGCTTTTTTTTTGGAGTCCAAAATTCTTAGTGCTATGCCCACAACATAATCCATGGGGAAAAGTCTTCAGAGAAGGGGTTTCAATTCTGTTTAGATATATGTATTGGCGGCGTATAATGCAGTGCATCTGGGTCCCACGGGACACTGGCAGTAGTGGGGTGGGTTTGGATGGGACTCGAGATAGAAGCAGCACTGTGGGGTCTCTCAGGCAGAGGCAGAGGTCTCAGCTTGCTTGGTTTGGGCTGCCCTTCATGTCTGCATCTGGGAAGAGTCCCCTGATGCTCCAAACCCCGACATTGTACTGCATAAACCAGCCCAGCAGAAAGAATAGAAAAACAAGATCAGGTAGGAAGCCCTGCAAACAGGCTGCATCACAGAATCTCTTTCTTAATAACAATATCATTTACAGGCTTAAAATAACAATTAAATGTGCTAAGAGGCTGATCCTCCCTATTAAATGGTTTGAAAGGTGCACTGGCTAATCCAAAGGAAACACTTTGCCGGTAAAACATGAAGGCTGGTGAAAAGATAAAAAGCAAACAGTATGGCTGAATGACAGAGGCAAAAACCACAGGCAGTGCAACAGGAGCTGCAGTAGTGGAAGAAAAAGACATATAAAAGATCTAGCAATGTAGTTGGACCATACCTATGACCATGGGATGTACGTCTACTTGTCCTCAGAGTCCAAGGGCTGGATTGAGTCTGGTTGAAGAGGCGTAAGCAGTCCCCATGCAGCCTTTCCAGTTTGCTCCTTTATCTTGCAGCAGCATCATCCCTCTGTTCTGTTCCTGAAACTCTTCACCAACCAGGACAGGCACATGGTTTGGGACAATATTTTTTTTTTTTTCCCTGCTTGGAAAAATAAAAACTTAAATCTAGCTGGAAAACATGAGTCAATGGGAGGTTTTTTTGTTTCAAACAGTAGGTTTATTCTCATCACTGTTTTGTGCAGAGTAGAGTGGAAAGGGTTAAATCCATACGAAATACTTTGGATAGGAGTTGTATCATTTAAGGTTAATCACCTGATGGTGCAGACTTTATCTATAGTCAAAGGGACAAACTGGGCACCCCCTGAAAGTGGTTATCCCACTCTGCTTTCTGTCTGTAGGATGGTGTGCACTCTATTATCTCTCTCCACTGACAGTAAAAGTTACCTAGATCATTAGCTCAAATTTATAAAATTAGCCTCCAGTTGGCTAAAGTTGCATAAAATGAATCCCAAACATAAAATGTTTCCCTGTGAGGAATATTCCTAAACAGAAAAGGACTTTTAAACACCCTTTCACATAAAGTAGATGAAAGGTTTTTGCAAAATATTTAAAATTCTAATTTCACAATTCATTTTCTGAGTATGTAGAGTCACGGTTCTAAAATCTGCTGATCTTTTCAGGAGCTGGCTGTGTGATAATGCCATCTTTCAAGCACATTGGAGGCAGTCAGTTAGAAAATCTAGTCTAGTGCTAGGAAAAAAATGTTATTATTCTGCTGCCTCCAGGTTGAGTTCTGTCAGCTGCCTCCATTTTCAAGACTGAGACCACATCTGCTTGCTTTAGGGCTTTTTTTTCGTGCACATGCCATACTTAGATTTTTTTTTTTTAGCCAATTTAGTTACAGAAGCACAGCCATAGCTGCTTTATGCCATGATGGCAAAAAGCTTATCATTTCTTTCCTATTTCCTAACGGAGTAAAAATGCAACAGGTATAAATTATATTTACAACTTAGTTTAAAGGGTAGCTTAAATGTTTTTTTCTCTTATTGAAATTGAAAATCTAGAAATAAGATGATATAGGAGAGTTACACTAATGCTTTGCACAGGACTGGGACAGACTCCAGGGCAAAACTTTTTTCCATTCCTACTCTTAGAATCTTAGAATGGTTAGAGTTGGAAGCGACCTTAAAGATCACTGAGTTCCAACCTCCCTCTTCTTGAAATACTAATCAAATTAATAGCACTGCATTGCAATTAGACCTGGGACTTCTGCAGCTGAAGTCTGAACCTTAGGAGCTTGGGCAAAAGGTCTCCTCTCTGAGAACATTACCAAAATTACATTCTCTGTGGGTCAGCCCCTGAGGGGATGTATAATTCACTAAGCAGCCAGTTGGAGCTGCACTGGGAGAGCTAATATACTTCTTGATGATGAGGCCCTATGCAGAGCCATACTTTTGTGCTATAATATGCTACATAAAACATTGGGTGACCAGAAGGAGCCAGCTCTGCTTCCCCTGAAGTCAGGCTTTCAACAACATCAGTATGTGGCTGAGTGTTTGGTTTACAGAGGGAGAACATTAAGAAAAGACTAAGAAGTGGCCTAGACAGATATAAATTACAGAAATAAACAAAATAGTAGTACGGATAATATAGCTCAT